TGCTTAGTTAGATAAGGCAGAAAAGTTCTAAATTCTCCTCCCCAATCTGTTTGCAGACACTTGATCTTTGTATCTAATTATTTTTCCACCAAAACATGGAATTGTGTAAATACCATAAAGGCATCAGACTTCTTTTTCAAAGGGTAAATCCATGAATATCGACTAAAGTCATCCCGAAAAACAAGATAATACTTGTAACCTTCTTTTGACACAGTAGGTGCTAGTCCCTATAAATCAGCAAAGATCAATTCCAAAAGTTTTGTAGTTACTGTTTCAGAAGCATAGAAAGGTTGTTGATGCAATTTTCCATATTTGCAAGCAGAACAACATTGCAAGGATTTAGTAACATGAAATGTATTTTTATTGAAAACCTTGTTTACAACAGTTTGGAGAACTTTGTCATGTGGATGACCAATCCTCATGTGCCACACAATTGGATCGAGCTCCTGTTTATTCGTAGTAACTACATTTACGGAATACACTCCTTTTATTCCTGAATCACTATTATGTAGTAAAGACGAATTACATCCTGATAACATAGGTTTATTTATCCCAGCAACTATACTACTATCTTGCAGTCTTGAAGGATTACTACCATAAGCATATGTTTTCCAACTCCAACTTGATTAAAGTGTAGTTGATACAGTCCCTCTTTAAGTGTGCCTTGCAATAGAGTTGCTTGTGTCACCTTGTCCTTAACAACACACAAGTCAGCAGAAAATTCAACTATAACTGCATTGTCTTAAGTGAGCTTTGATATACTTATCAAGTTCTTTGTAATTTCAGGCACTACCAACACCTTAGCTATTTTCAATTTCTTTAAAGGTAACAAGGTAGGAAAAGAAATGTCACCTGTATGAGTGATGTTCAAGCACTGACCACTTCCAACCTGAAGTTTTTCTACTCTAGAGTAAGGACTGCTAAGAATGAGATTTTGAGCAGTTGAGGTAATATGACTTGTTGCTCCAAAATCAAGATACCACTGAGGGTCTGCTACTGATACTGGTTGTGCAAAGTAAGACATAGGATTGGCAGCCTGAGAAAGACTATCGACTTGTGACAAATTTGACTAAGGTTGGATAGGCAATGAATTGTTTCCTTTGAAATTATTAGGAGTACCAAAACTATGCTGCATATAGTGAGCTTGATTGGTTTGATCTGACAACTCATCTTGAGAAAGTTGTATCATTTGCTGATATTGTGTTGAGGATTTGGATTTTGGGGACCTAGATATGATAAATCAAGTCTATGATAGCATTGTACAGCTGTATGTCCTGGCTTTCCACAGACTTGACAAAAAATTCTTGGTTTAAAGAAATTCTTGCCTCTTCCTTTACTTGAATTTGGATTCACTTTTCTTATATCTTGTGCCAACAAGGCATTATGATTGTACTGATGATCAGGAAAATAATTCCCACCAAAGGCATTATATAAAGGCCTGAAAGCTTGAGTATTATAAGATGATAGATAGCTAAGTAAAGGTGATTCAGGATGAATGCCACGATAAGTACCACCAACAAAATTTTGTTTTTGTGCAAGCAGTGCTGAGTTCCCATGATAGATTCCATGCACATTGTTATATCTTTCTAGTCTAATTTATGCTTCATGCTTATGAAGCAAAAGTTGTGTTTCTTGCAAGGTAAGATCATCACCTCTAGCTAACAAATACACTGATACAGCATCGGGACCCAGGCCATCTAAAATATAAGCTACCAATTCCTCAGTACTTAGATGCACTCCACTAGCTGACAATGAGTCTGCATAACCTTTCATTTTGAGTACATATTCGTTAATACTTAAGGACTCTTTTTTTGTATTTTGCAACAAGTTTCTCAAGTGCATAGTTTTGGTTTTGGATTCAGTAATAAAATGTTTCTCTAAGATTGTCTAGATTTCATATGAACTAGAACACTTAGCAACATGACCAAACATCGATTCAAAGATGGATGAGTACAACCAACACATGAGAAATTGATCAATTCTCTTCCACAGAAAACAGTCAGGGTTAGATTTTCTTACCACAACTCTTGTTTCAATATCTTTAATTGAAATAGTAGATTCAGGACAAGATTTTTCGCCATTCACAAATCCTTCAAGCTGAAAAGAGGTTAGCGCCGGTAGAACCTGAGATCTCTAGTAATTGTGGTCTTTCTTGCCTAATTTTAATGCTATAGTAGGCAAAGAAGTCGGAAAACTAAAGCTCTTTAACTGATCATCATTCAGAGCCATTCTTTCAGCATTCTTGATTGTGATTTCATCAGCCATACTTGAAAACTATTTGAAGAGATACTAAAATTATCTGTGACGCTAGTCAATTGGAAGCTCTGATACCATAATAGAGTCCTAGGATCAAGAAAAGAAAAAGATTTGAAAGTTGCAAAACTTTCTCAAGAACCGAACAAAAAATTTCAGAAAAGAAAGTGAGAGAGAGAGAGAGAGAGAAAATGTGGGATCTTTCTAGAACTAAAGTTTATTTTTTTATTTGCTTGAGTTTTACAACTGAATATTAAATTTCTTTTATACAAGCATCAGTCCACGTTGGCCAATGGCCATCCTTTACAAAATAACATCTCCACCGTTGATCATTCTTCTAGCATCTCCACCATTGATCAATTGTAAAACTCCAGCTGCCCTGTAATACTCTAACAGATTACAACTTAACAGGTATTAGAAAAAAAGGTCGAATCTCCATGTTCAACTTCATAAAGTCCTGTACCATTTTAAATTCTTTACTTTATTAAGTAATAAAAATATTTTAAATATCCTATGAGATCATATATTCCATGAAGCTATGATTGATTTATTGAATTGCAGTGGTAGCAAGAGTCCAGGCCAGGCACGTTTTATTATTCATCTTTCTGAAAAAGTATGAAGAGTGGAGTCAGTTCTTTAATTTCTTCCCTTCAATCACGAATTTAATGAAGGTGGGAAAGTGGAAGCTATTTCAGCCTGTTAACATCTCTGTAAATTGAGTCTTACAGCATATGAATGAGACTACACATTCACAAATACCAGACTACGAAGGTGGAAATTCCACAGCCTATTTTTCAGCTATTAGCATCAATTTATAAGAGTTTCCTCTTTTGGGATGGGGGATCTTGGGAAAATAGATAATAGGTTTTATTAAATCGCAAGACGAGAACAAGACGGATGTATATCTTCTAGGTCGCTGGAACTTTGTTTCAGGGCCAGTTCTTTCTATCTTGAAGAAGAGAATATGGAAATGAAGAAGAACAAATTAAAGGATAAGGATGAACAAATGGAAGAACTTAAAATCCTCGGTCGCGATAAGAATTTTCACTTTATATAGTTCAATTATGTATTTTCATTTGGTCTTAAACGCAAACTATATAAATTAAAGAAGAAGATCGAGTGATCATTATACAATGAAGATATTTCGTAACAGTTAACTGAACGCATTATGCTTTTCCTCCTATCTACGGAGGCATTTAATTATAGTAATTGTTGAAGTTGTATGTTCAAAACACTCTGTTTAGGCCAAAAGTTCAAGCCTTTGAATTAAAGTCCTAAAGCACGAAGATCTGCATCAACTTTGTCTAATTTCTCTACCAGCAATGTAGCCTTCGCTCTCTTCACTCTCATTCAACTTTTTTCAGTGGGACACCAACGGTGGAAATTTGATAGCTTTATTTGGCAATCAAAATCTCTAGTTTTATGACTTCTCCATCATTGGGATGGGGGATCTTGGGAATATAAGGTAATATGAATGTTTCATTATTTATGTAATTAGTTTTTAAGTTTTTTAATTTCAAGATTTATTAATTCTACTAGCGAGATGGAATTGGATAGGTGCCTTGTAATTATGGTGATCATCATGTTGAAATCAGATTTTTTTTCCTTTTAAATTTGGTCTTGAATGCTTCTGGTAATCTACCAGCTAGGGTTGTGGCTGCAGCAAAACTATAAAAAAAGATTTACAACCTGGAAGACTTTTAGAAATCAATTAGGAAAACCAATTTTAACCTAAATATATCTGAGAGCAACAATGCATATTGACCTTCATTGCATACTTTTTATCCCTTGTTATAATATTGTAAAGTACATGTGATACATAGTGTTGCAACAAACCAGTAAACACAATCCAACAAACAGATCACACAATCATAAGAAATCGCACCAACACAAAACACGAGTTTTACCGTGGTTCACTTATCCAGATTGGATAAGCTACATCCACATTGAGCTTCGGAAATGGGACAGCTCACGGCACTACTATTAGAACAAGATTTGAATAGTAACAGTACAAATCCAGATTACACCCTCACTGATCTTACACAAGAATCACTCAATAACTAACCCTAAGGAAACTCACCAGGAATCCTCAAGCCCCAAGAACAAACAACTCTCTTTGATTGACTAAAATACCTAATCAATCTACCCAAGTTACAATGATTTCCCAAAGTTGTGTAAGCCCTAACCAAGAATAGAGTAATCTATCAGAAGAGAGAACCCAATAATTGCCCTAATTTGATTTCAACTATTCACTCTCTTATATATCGTTGACCCCTTTGACAAACCTCAACCGTTAGATCTGAACTTGTTTGATGGTCAGGATTTAAGCTAATACTATTTCAAAACGCAACGTTTCATTTAAGCCTCAAAGTGATGTCGTTTCAATCTTCACTTCAACAATCTCCACCTTGAAAATATGAAACATCTAGTAGTGCAGTGTGCTCTAAACCATATCCCTCATAGCTCCAGATTATGTTGATTTACTCCATGGACAGTAGCTTCAAGCAGTGCTTGAATTTTGCTGGTGTGATGATCTTTGTCCCCATATCGGCTGGATTTTCTTCAATGGGTAGTTTCTTCAACTCAACTACTCCTTGGGCAACCAAATCTCTCACAAAATGAAACCTCACATCTACATGCTTGGTCCTTTCATGATAGACTGGGTTTTTACCCAGACGTATTGCACTCTGGCTGTCTGAGTAAATTATAACCTTCCCTTCAGTTAGGTTTGCTTCTGACATCATTCCTTACAACCACACAGCCTCCTTAAACACATCAGCAATGGCTATGTATCCAGCCTCTGTTGATGAAAGTGCTATTATGGGCTGCAACTGCGATTTCCAGCATATGCAGTTTCCACCAAGTGTGAAATAGTAAGTAGTTGTGGATTTTCTGGTGTCTTTATCACCTGCAAAATCTGAATCTACAAACCCAACAAGATCAAGCATAGTATTGTTCTTGTAGTACTTTAAACCAACATTTAATGAGTTGTTAATGTATCTAAGAACCCATTTCAAGGCAGTCCAATGTTCACTGTCAGGGTTGGACGTAAATCTGCTAAGAAGTGATATAGCAAAAGACAAATCTGGTCTAGTGCTTATCATTGCATACATTATAAAGCCAATCACATTTGAGTATGGGATATCATTCATCTTTATCATCTCAGCTTCAGTTTTAGGACACTGGTCTTTACTAAGCATAAAATGATTTGCTAAGGGCATCGAGACTGATTTTGAGTCAGCCATACTAAACTTATTTACCAGTTTATGCAAGTAAGCACTCTGTTCAAGTTTTAGACAGTTATTCCTCCTATCTCTAGATATCACCATTCCTAGAATTTTCTTAGCATTTCCCAGATCTTTCATGTCAAATTCTGAGCTTAGTTTCTTCTTCAGATCTTGTATTCGAGATTTGGATCTACTGATTAATAACATATCATCAACATACAACAAGAGGTAAATGGGCAGATTTTTATCTAAGTCAAAATAGAAGCAGTTGTCATACCTGTTTCTCCTAAATCCCAGGCCCATTATAAAGGTATCAAATCTTTTGTACCATTGCCTAGGGGTCTGCTTGAGGCCATAGAGGGACTTATGTAACAAGCATACATGGTCTAGAACCTTATAATCAATGAATCCTATAGGCTGACACATATAAATTTGCTCATCTAAATTTCCATGAAGAAATGCAGTGGTTACATCTATTGACCAAGGTTGACTTTTTCATTAAGGATAAAACTGTAAAAAGGAGAAACAGTGTCGTTTCTCTCTTTGCTTTCCCTTTTGCTTTCTTCTTCCTATCTTTTGTTTACTCACTTCTTCATATAAAAGTGAGTTGAGCTTGTTTGTAACAGTTTAGCTAATCAAGAAATATAGAGCATTCTTCTTCTCAAATTCTTCATTTTCTTTCTAATTTTACATTCTCTTTGAGTTTCACATGGTACCAGAGCCAAAGACTAACGTCAATGGCAAGAATTCCTGATCATAATCTCTCTAACAAATGTGCAGAGAAGATGCTTAACGGCTCTAGTTTTCACTCTTCGATTTTCAACTCCAGTCTTCAAGTCATTACGCCAAAATTAACCAGAGACAATTACCGAGATAATTATCGGTTTTGGAGATCTCAAGTTCTCTCTACAGTTGGCGCTTACGATCTTGAAGAACACCTAACAGGTTTAGTTTCATGTCCTGAACCTCTTATTGTTTCAGATGATAAATTGAAAGAGTTAAGCTCAAATGAAATTAAAGAAACCCTAGGAAAGGAAAGGATTAATCCAGAGTATATAACCTACAAAAAGACAGATAAATTTCTTGTCACATGGCTTTTAGCATCAATTTCAGAATGCATGTTCAGTCAAGTATCGAAATGTAAGTTTGCTATTGACATTTGGTTTGCACTGGAAAATGAATTTTTGGCTGATTCTAAGGCTAGAGTCCTGCATCTGAAAAATCTGCTTCAAAATACACAAAAAGGCAGTATGAATGTTAGTGAATATGTTAAGAAAATGAAAGGGATAACTGAGAGCTTATCATCCAGTGGTCAGGTTGTCACAGATGAAGACCTATTGTAGTATGTTTTAGATGGATTAGGACCAGAGTTTGATGCAGTGGTAGTTAACTTGACATCCAAAATTGAATCCAAGTTTGATTCAATAACGTTACATTAATCTCATTTTCTTCTTCAAAAGTGTGAACTGAGACTTGAGAAGTTTAATTCTCTTGACTTTCCAAACTGCTCAATCAATGTGGCAGCACTCAGTTCCAACATGAACAAGGCTCATATCTCTAACTCTGCATCAGCTTCCATGATTCCTGCTGAAGGTTCTGCTGGAAGTGTTGGGTCTAGAAATTTTGGGTTAACAAATCAAATGATCCCACAGCAGAATGCTCTGCCTATGCCTTCCCAAAATTATCCCACTACACCTCAATCTGCTGGTGGTTTGTTGTCAAATCAAAACACTCCTCATTACTTACCCGAAGCTATGAATCAGTTTGGTCAGTACAGTGTTCCTTCCTATAGACCTTTTGGCTACATTAGTAATGGTAAAGGAAGGGGCAGGAACAATGGCAAAGGTAAACAAATTTGTCAAGTATGTGGTAAAATGGTCCATATAGCCATTCAGTGCTATCATTGGTACAACTCCAGTTATAATGGTTCTGCATTTCAGTTTAATAGTTCAGGTTATTCTAGTGGTGCTCCAGGCTCTAGTTATTCTAGTGGTGCTCCAGTTTCTAGTTATTCTAGTGGTGCTTCAGTAGGTTATTTTGGTGGTGGTTTAATTCCTGGTTACTCTAGTGGTGGTCCAGTTTCTGGTTATTCTGGTGGTGCTCCAGTTTCTGGATTTTCTCAACATGACAGCATTGGTGCTAATTCCTCTGGAAACACCTTTGGTACTAGGAATCACCAGTATGGTTCTTATCCACAACAACATGGGAGTAATAATTCACAGTCGTCACAGCATCAATTCATTGACTAGCAAAAGTACTCTTCCTACTCAAACCATCAGCTAGGCTTCCAAGTTTCCAGTCCACAAATGCAACCTTCAAGTCAAGCTTATTTTGCTGCTCACTCACCTACACCTGTTTATCACACCACCATCACCTCCAATACACCTCCTGACCCTGCATGGTATATGGATTCTGGTGCAACAGATCATGTTGCATCAGATCATGTTGCATCAGATCCAAACCAGTTAACAACTAGCCGAAGTTATGATGGTAATGATCAACTACAAGTAGGCAATGGTGAGTCCCTAAACATCTCTCATATTGGCTTTTCTTTAATTCCTAGTTCTTTGAAATCCAAATGTGTTTACTTAAAGAATGTGCTTTGTGTTCCTAGAATTACAGAAAACTTGCTTAGTATTTCCAAACTTACCAAAGATAACAATGTAGTTGTTGAGTTTGATTCTGATTCTTGCACTGTAATGGACAAAGCTTCCAGAATAGTCCTGCTGCAGGGAGGACTTAAGGCTGGTCTGTATCAGTTGCAAATACCCTCTAGCCTATCATCGCATACTTCTCCTTCCTTGCCACCATTTGGAGTTGTTCCTAATAGTCAGTTTGGTTCAGTACCTTAGTCATACGTTACTGTAGTTGCTAATCAATCTTTAGATTCTATTTTAGACGAAGAAAATAGGTTTAGTTATGTAAATAAAGGTTGTATCATGACTGATATATAGTCCTCTGATGATAGTTGTAAGTCAGATGCTATTGTCTCAAATTTGTGCCAAACATCTCATTTATGTAATAAGCATTCTATAAATAAAACAGTTTCGTCAGTACCTTCCTTGTTGTCTTTATCTTATGATGCACTACATGTAAACACTAATGATGCTTGTGAGCCTAACAATATTAGTCAGCCTTTGGTTAATAATAAACCTTGTGTTTTTCAAGTCAGTAATGATAAAGAAAATCACTTATCCCTTTGGCATAACAGACTACGACATCCACATGCTGAAACAATACACAAAATCTTGTCCCATTTTCAGCAAGCTTCTGCTGGCATTATGTCTCAATTACCATTTTGTGATGCATGTAAAATAGGTAAACTTCATAGAAATAACTTCCCAATGTCTCACTCTATAGCATCACATCCATTTGATATTGTTCATAGTGATGTTTGGGGACCATCTCCAGTTGCTTCCTTAGAAGGATATATATATTATATTCATTTTATTGATGACTATAGTCGCTTCACTTGGTTGTTCCCTTTAAGAACAAAAGCTGAAGTTCAATCTGTTTTCATTAAATTCCATCACCTGGTCGAAAGGCAGTTTAATTGCAAGCTCAAATGCTTGCAATCAGACCAAGGAGGAAAGTATAAAGGCTTAATTTCTTATCTCACTACTGCTGGTATACAGTTTAGGCATTCATGTGCATATGTTCACCAACAAAATGGGAGAAGTGAGAGAAAACATCGGCACATTGCTGAAACTGGTCTTACTTTGTTAGCTCATGCATCCATGCCTTTGCATTATTGGTGGTGTGCATTTGATACTGTAGTGTTTCTTATAAATAGGATGCCTACTACTGTGTTGAAATTTCTGACACCATATGAAGTCTTGTTTGAAACAAAACCATTTTACTCCTCTCTTAAAGCAATAAACTGATCAGCAACAAACACCAACTTCAAATCAATAAACTGATTAGTAACTAACACCACAGCAATTGATACTTATTGCAACATCTCATTGCAACATTATCAGCAACTAATGCCAATTTTAAAACAATAAACTGATCAGCAACAAACACCAACTTCAAATCAACAAACTGATCAGCAACTAACACCAACACCAACTTCAAATCAATAAACTGATCGACAGTAACTAACACCAACACCAACTTCAAATCAATAAACTGATCAGTAGCAACTAACACCAACACCAACTTCAAATCAATAAACTAATCAGCAACTAACACCTGATTAGCAACTAACACCAATTTCAAATCAATAAATTGATCAGCAACTAACATCAACTTCAAATCAATAAACTGATCAGCAACTAACATCACCTTCAAATCAATAAACTGTTGCTCAGAGCCACTTATTCTCAAGCCAGTGAATAAAAGATCTCAACAACAACTAAGTTTTCAATTCTACTGCAACCACTGTCAGCTTACCTTTTAAGTCTTGAAATTGAGAAATAGAGAGAGCCTTTGTCAAAACATCAGCTATTTGTAGCTTAGAAGGAACATATTGCACCAGGACTCTCTTGGCTAACACTTGATCCCTTATATAGTGTGCATCTATTTCTATATGCTTTGTTCTAGCATGAAATATAGGATTAAATGCTAAAGCTCCTGCACTTACATTATCACACCAAATTATAGGAATGGAGCTGATTTTTACACCTAATTCAGAGAATAGACTATCCAGCCATGCCAACTCAGTTGCTGTTTGTGCTAAAGCCCTATATTCAGCTTCAGTAGATGAGAGTGCAACCACCTTTTGCTTGCGGGAACTCCATTGAACTAGGTTAGGTCCAAGATACACACAATACCTGCTTGTGGGCAAGGATGGGCATCTTGCATTTTTGTCTTGACAAGTAAATCTGTTATGTATTTGGACTGCCTCAAGTGAATTCCTGCATCAGTCTTGGTAGCTTCTAATCCCAAGAAATAAGTAACTAATCCCAAGGTTTTTAACACAAATTGGTTGTTTAAGTCATGAACCAACTTGGTAATGGAGGAGTTCTTGGATTCGGTAATCAAGATGCCATCTACATAGATGAGTACATACAAAATCTGACTTGTATCCTTAAGAATAAACAAACTAGAATCAGAAACTGAATTTTGGAAACCTTTCTCTAGCAATGCTTGCTTTAATCTATCAAACCGGGCCCAGGTTTGATAACCAGGCTAAAAGTTTCAAAATAATCTAGTCCGGGGGTTTGTTGGAATCCTTTGGCTACCAATCTAGCTTTATATTTTTGCAAAGTACCATCAGCATTGAATTTGGTTCTAAAGACCTACTTGTTACCAACTATGTTCATGTCACATGTTTTAGGAATCAAAGTCCAAGTATTGTTCCTTATAAGTGCATCAAATTCATCTTGCATAACATTCTTCTAGTTAACATTAGCCAAAGCTTCAGGTATAGTGGCAGGTTCTGGTTGTATGATGGTTGAGGATTTAGAGGACATGAGGACTGTTGTAGTTTGACCAGTAGACTTAGCTCGAGTTATCATGGGATGAGTGTTGAGAGGTTGTTTCTGGTTGTGTTGATATTGTTGTGTGTGTGTAAATGCTAAGGTTGTAGAACCTGGTTGTTGTTATGTGTGTGTAGATGCTAAGGTTGTAGAACCTGGTTGTTGTTGTAGGTTGTGATTTGATGTGTTAGAACCTGGTTGTTGTTGTGTGTGTGTAGATGCTAAGGTTGTAGAACCTGGTTGTTGTTGTAGGTTATGATCTGATGTGTTTTGTAACAATGTGGATGGTGGAACTTGAAGTCGTGATGGTGTTAAATCAACCACAAGTGGGCAAAAGGGCAACGACTCTAGACTGGTTGGATGAGTTTTTAAAGAGCTATCTGGTTTATAATTGGTCAAATCAACAAATACTAAATAATTATTTTGAGTTTCAGGAACAAACCTGCTTGGGGAGGATTCTGATATGTGAAAACTGAAAGGTTCTTGTGAGTTTAGTGAATCAGATTCACCAGAAAAAGGTAAGGCAGATTTAGGAGACTGAAATGTGGGTGGATTTTAGGGAACAGATAGAGAAGGAGATTGAGAAGTAGTTAGATCATGAGACTCAGAGTTTTGTGGTGAGCAGATGATAGTGTTTGAGGTTTCTGGTTTGTCGAAATCAGTATTGCAAGGAGCAGTTATAGAGCAGCCATTATGCAAGCGAGTTCTTCTGCTGGAGCTATGATCAGTTGCAAATTTCTCAAAGATAAATGGAAGACTGGAGGTTGGAATTTCAGGACTAGTACTGGTTAAACTTACTTGTTCAATAGGTGAATTTGACTCAAGAGAGTTGGAACCGAAACCTTTTTGAAAAGGAAACTCTGACTCATTAAAATGGACATTAGAGGTGATAAACATTTTACCTTCAGAATTGATACACTTATAACCTTTGTGAATAAGACTATAACCAACAAACACGCATTTGGAGGAATGAAAACTAAGTTTATGTTTGTTAAAGCCTTTAAGATAAGGGAAGCAAGTACAACCAAAAGTTTTAAGAGAGGAGTAAAATGGTTTTGTTTCAAACAAGACTTCATATGGTGTTAGAAATTTCAACACAGCAGTAGGCATCCTATTTATAAGAAACACAGCAGTATCTAATGCACACCACCAATAATGCAAAGGCATGGATGCATGAGCTAACAAATAAGATAATGTTGCAATGAGATGTTGCAATGAGTATCAATTGTTGTGGTGTTAGTTACTGATCAGTTTATTGATTTGAAGTTGGTGTTTGTTGTTGATCAGTTTATTGTTTTGAAGATGGTGTTTATCTGGTTTGAAGTTGGTGTCAGTTACTGATAATGATGAAATGAATATCAGTTGCTGTTGTTGAAGTTAGTATCAGGTTGTTGAAATGAATATCAGTTGATGTTGTTGAAGATAGTATTAGTTGCTGTTTGAAGTTGGTGTCAGTTGCTGATTGTTGAAATTAGTATCAGTTGCTGTAGAGATAGGTCTAAGCATGAGTTTAACTGGTTTTAAAGTTTTAATCAGTTGTTGAAGATATAATCAGCTCAGTTGGGTTCAGTTCACTGTAATTCACTTCAGTTCACTGATTGAGTTATAATTGGCTTAGTTGGTTTTAGTTCAGCAGTTTGCTTAGCTATGCTTGAAGCTCAGCTCAGTAGTTTTTTTTTTTTTTTTTGGTTGGGTTCAATTCAATGTGATTCACTTGGCAGACTGTGTATTGGTTTCAGTTCAGCAGTTTGCTTAGCTTTACTTGCAACTCAGCTCAGTTTTGTTTGTAACTCAATTGGGTTCAGTTCACTGTGATTCATTCTACAATCCGCATATTTGTAGCCTTTATGCTGGATCATGAGTTTAGTTCAGATCATAACTTATGTCTCTGGGAATCAGAGAAAGATTGTTTTAGTTAAAACACAACAGATTTTTTTTACAGAATGAGTTTTCTGCAGTAGCAACTACAAAGCAGCAGTTAAAATGCAGCAGGATTGTTTCAGCTAAAATGTAGCAGATTTTTTTTTTTTTTTTGCAGATTGTGAAGAATGTTGTTATGTATTGAAATAGCATGAGAAGTTGGATTCAAAGTAGTTTGGTTTGAGGGAGCATGTTGACCAAGGTTGACTGGCGTGCTGTCGTAGGTACCCAGAATTAAAACCTTCCGAACCTAACTACTGAACTGTAAATAGGGTAAGCAAGGGTCGATCCCAAGAAGAGTGTCTAGCCGAATTTTCTTTGATGTGAAAAAGGCTGGGGGGCTTGTGTAAAAACAGAAAACAATCTCAGCAAAAACANTAGCAGGACTGTTCTGGAAGCTTTGTCCTTTACAGTGCAAGAATCAGAATCAAACTCAACAACTACATTGTTATCTTTGGTAAGTTTGGAAATACTAAGCAAGTTTTTTGTAATTCTAGGAACACAAAGCACATTCTTTAAGTAAACACATTTAGATTTCAAAGAACTAGGAATGAAAGAAAAACCAATATGAGAGATGTCTAGAGACTCACCGTTGCCTACTTATAGTTGATCATTACCATCATAACTTCGGCTAGTTGTTAACTGGTTTGGATCTGATGCAACATGATCTGTTGCACCAGAATCCATATATCATGCTGGGTCAGGAGGTGTGTTGGAGTTGATGGTGGTGTGATAAACAGGTGTAGGTGAGTGAGCAGCAAAATAAGCTTGACTTGAAGGTTGCATTCGTGGATTGGAAACCTAGAAGCCTGGCTGATGGTTTGAGTAGGAAGAGTACTTTTGCTGGTCAATGAATTGATGCTTTGGAGATTGTGAATTATTACTCCCATGTTGTTGTGGATAAGAACCATACTGGTGATTCCTAGTACCAAAGGTGTTTCCAGAGGAATTAACACCAATGCAATCATGTTGAGAAAATCCAGAAACTGGACCACCACTAGAATAACCAGAAACTAGACCACCACCAGAGTAACCAAGAATTGAACCACCACCAGAATAACCTACTGAAGCACCACTAGAATAACCAGAAACTGGACCACTACCAGAATAACTAGAGCCTAGAGCACCACCAAAATAACCTGAACTATTAAACTGAAATGCAGAGCCATTATAATTGGAGTTGTACCGATGATAGCACTGAATGGCCGTATGGCCCATTTTACCACATACTTGACAAATCGGTTTACCTCTACCATTGTTCCTGCCCCTTCCTCTGCCATTACTAATGTAGCCAAAAGGTCTATAGGAAGGAACATTGTACTGACCAAACTGATTCATAGCTTCGGGTAAGTAATGAGGAGTGTTTTGATTTGGCAACAAACCACCAGCAGACTAAGGTATAGTGGGATGATTTTGGGAAGGCATAGGCAGAGCATTCTGTTGTGGGATCAAATTTCCAGACCCAACACTTCTAGCAGAACCTTCAGTAGAAATCATGGAAGCTGATGTAGAGTTAGAGATCTGAGCCTTGTTCATGTTGGAACTGAGTGCCGCCACATTGACTGAGCAGTTTGGAAAGTCAAGAGAATTAAACTTCTCAAGTCTCAATTCATACTTTTACAACAGAAACTGAGCTTCTTGTAACGTTATTGAATCAAACTTGGATTCAATTCTGGATGTCAAGTTAACTACCACTATATCAAACTCTGGTCCTAATCCATCTAAAACATACTGCAATAGGTCTTCATCTATGACAACCTGACCACTGGATGATAAGCTCTCAGCAATCNCCCCAAAACCTAATCTGATCTCTTTAGCCAAAATCCAGTTCAAGAATTTGAATCCCACTCAATCTCCTAAAAGAAATATTCTAATATCCTAAAATAACATTAATCCTAATTTAATTCTAATTAATTTAAAATAAGATAGAGTCCTAAAATAAAATAGGAAAGTGGTGATTCTGAGCTGTAACTTGCATGCTACATGTCCTCAAATCTTCCAATAATAAACTGCTCAATTGATTTGCATGACAAGGCAGAATGCTCCAGGACGTCCAGTGCAGATATGTCAACTTCAAGCTCGATTAAAACCTTGATTCAGTGAGTATCTCTGCAAACTCAAAACATAAAAGTTGTAGATAAATTTCTTATCGTTCCACATCATTTTGAATCATCTCAATCGGAGCTCGGATGAGAGAGTTATGCCCAGATTACGAAACAACGTTGAAACTGTCCGAATTCACTTAATAAGTTCCGTTTTACGCCTCCATTTGCATCCTAAATCAAAATAGAATAATAATGAGTATATTTAGGCAACAAATACGTATAAAAGACTAAACATTAAGGGGGGTAAATATGACATTTTGCATTCCCATCATTGACTTTTTCATTAAGGACAAAACTGTAAAAAGGAGAAACGGTGTCGTTTCTCTCTTTGCTTTCCCTTTTGCTTTCTTCTTCCTATCTTTCGTTTACTCACTTCTTCATATAAAAGTGAGTTGAGCTTGTTTGTAATAGTTTGGCTAATCAAGCAATACAGCGCATTCTTCTTCTCAAATTCTTCATTTTCTTTCTAATTTTACATTCTCTTTGAGTTTCACAACATCTAGCTGTTCTAACTCTCGGTTCTGGTGTGCAGCAATGGACAACATTAGTCTGATGGTTTTGTATTTCACTACTGGGGAAAAGACTTCATTGAAGTCTATTCCTTCTCATTGGGTATAACCCTTGGCAACCAGCCTGGCTTTATATTTAAGGGGATCAGAACTCGAAATACCGTCTTTAGTTTATAAAGCCACTTACATTGAATCAGTTTCTGGTCTTAGGGTTTAGGCACCAAAGACCAGGTTTTGTTTACCTCTAGTGAGTGCATATCTTCCCTCATTGTTGCTTCCCACTTATCTTTGTCTTTAGACTTCATAGCCTCATCATATGTTTCAGGTTCTGTTCTTTGGACTTCTATACCTGCAAGCAAGGCAGTAAAAATTAGTTCAGCATAAGAATAGTGAGCAGGTGGCCTTACCTCTCTCTGGTTCTGTCCCTTGCAAGTTGGTATTATTGAAGATCAACTGGTTGATGTTCTAGGATTTCATTAGTGATTTCTTCTTCTGGTTGTCCAGGTTCAATGTGTTCTGTTTTAGCTTCAGTTTGGGGTTCTGTTTCTGGTTGGGTAGGGTTAGATTGGTGTGCTAGTTGCTCCACCTCAATTGGTGTAGTCCTAGTAGGGCTGGGGTAAGTTTCAGTGTTTTTGATGATTCCCTGATCAATGGCAGATCCTTTGCAAGGGAATTCACTCTTATTGAACACTACATCTCGACTTACTATGATCTTTACCCCTGGAGTCTCCTTATCCCATAATCTGTATCCTTTTGTGCCTTTTCGGTAACCTAGGAATATACATATGGTAGACCTAGGCTCAAGTTTCCCTCCCACAATATGTGCATAAGCAGCACACCCAAATATTCTCAAGTGACTTAAGTCTGGTCTTCTTCCAGACCAGATCTCTTCGGGGCATTTCCCATCAATGGCAATGGATGGGCTTCTATTTACAAGGTAGGCTGTAGTAGCTAGAGCTTCCCCCAAAAATGTTTTTGGTAACCCTGAGGTAAATAAAAAGCACCTAACCTTTTCTAGTAAGGTTTTATTCATCCTTTCTGCCACTCCATTCTGTTGAGAGGTCCTAGCTACAGTTCTATGTCTTAGAATGCCATGTTCTTTACAGAAGCTATCAAACTCAGTATTGTAGAATTCAAGCCCATTGTTAGTTCGTAGTGCCTTTACTTTCTTTCCTAGTTGGTTTTCTACCAGTACTTTCCACTCCCTAAACTTTGTCAAAGCTTGATCTTTGGTCTTTAGGAGAAATGTCCAAACTTTCCTGCTATAGTCATCAACTATGGATAAGAAGTAACTGTTTCCACCATGGGATTTAATTTTTTCAAGTCCCTAGAGGTTAGAGTGTAAGTATTCCAGGCAATTTGTGGCTAGGCGAGTCCCTTTTGAAAAACTTAGTTTGTGTTGTTTTCCTAACACACAGTTTTCACAGAATTCTAAGTTGTTGATTGTATCCCTCCTAAACACTCCCTGACTACTAAGGATGTTCATACCCTTCTGACTCTTATGCCCCAACCTAAAGGTGCCCTTTTTCGGTTACTATCTGTTTAGTATGAGGCACTATAGTATTGAAACATTCAGGGTAAAAATCTCCACATAGTATATAGAGACCATTTCTCTTTTCCCCTTTAAGAACCAGGTTTTGATTTTTCTACACATACAAGCATCCATTGTTAGCCTTATAGGCACATCCAAGCTCATTTAGGGTCGCTAAGGAGATAAGATTCCTTTTTAACTAAGGGATATACCTAACCTTGGTTAATTTTACAAGTTTTCAATCAGTTAGTCTAAGGGTTACACTACCTATACCCTTAACTCTACAGGCCTGATTGTTTCCCATGTAGACTATTTCATTTTCCTGCGTTTCTAGATTCTAGAACTAGTTCTTGTATGGGCTCATATGAAAGGAACAGCCTGAGTCCAGGACCCATTCCTTAGCAGTGTCAGATGTTGACACTGCCAAGTCCTCAGGCTCATCCCATTGGTTTTTACTAGAGGCCAGGTTACTCTCAATGTTTCCCTGTTTATGTTTCTTCAACCATTCAAAGCAGTTTTTCTTGATATGACCAGGTTTGTTGCAAAAGAAACACTTCTTAGTGTCAGATTTTATTTTATTGTTCCCCTTCCATTTTTTCTTGTTTTTAGACCCCTGTTGATATTGATTAGTCTTTCCTACTTGACTAGATTCTGGCCTACCTTTTACAAACAGATTGCTCCCTGATCTTTTATGGACCTTTAGCTGTAGTTCCCTAGCTTTGAGTCCTGCAACTATCAAGTCTAAACTAGGCACAGTCCCTGAATACTATAGAGCATTCTTTACTACTATTTATTCTTCGGTTAATGAATTTAGTAAGATGATTGCTAAGCTGGTGTCCCTTAGTTCCTGATCAGTTCCTTTACGGATTAGAGTCATTTTCAAAAATTCATCTAAGTTGTCCTCAAGTGATTTAAAACTATCTGTTTTGTACGAAAATAAAGCACCCTTCAAAAAAGCTAGATTGGGTGCGGACTGTAAAGAGTAAAAGGTTTCGAGTTTACCCCATAGGGCTAGAGGAGTTTCTAGCCTGCCTACCTTCCGCAGGACATTGTCTGACAGATTCATCATTATGAGGTTGTACGCTTCCTTGTTGATCTCATCCTTCTTCTTCTTCAGTTTCTCTTCTGGCCATTTGAATGCGTCTTTTTCCAGGGCAATCCCCACCTTGTTGTGAGAAAGTAACACATTCATCTTCTTCTTCTTCCAACTCCCAAAATCAATCTTTCCATCGTATTGAGTGATTTCCAATCGTGTGGTTGACATATTTGTGTTTAAAAATTGACTTTGTTTCAAGAAGCCCTAATTGAAACCCTAGACAGAATTGACAAATGAATTCTAAACGATTTGCTAAGACCTGAACCTAAATCTTCAAAGAACTTCCTTAATTGACGATTTGACGACTTGAATCTATAACCTAGGACTCTAGATTACCAAATAAAGACCCAATTTGAAAAAACCCCAAATCTTGACAAACCCTAGTTCTTTCAGAAAACCCTAGATCACCGGATACTACTGTTGTAACAAACCAATAAACACAATCCAACCAATAGATCACACAATCATAAGAAATCACACCAACACAAAACACAAGTACCATGGTTCACTTATCCAGATTGGATAAGCTACGTCCACGTTGAGCTCTGGAAATGGGACAGCTCACGGTACTACTATTAGAACAAGATTCGAACAGTAACAGTACAAATCTAGATTACACCCTCATTGATCTTACATAAGAATCACTCAATAACTAACCCTAAGGAAACTCACCAAGAATCCTCAAGCCCCAAGAGCAAACGACTCTCTTTGATTGACTAAAATACCTAATCAATCTACCCAAGTTACAATGATTTCCCAAAGTTGTGTAACCCCTAACCAAGAATAGAGTAATCTATCATAAGAGAGAACCTGATAATTGCCCTAATTTGATTTCAACTATTCACTCTCTTATATACCGCTGACCCCTTTGAAAAACCTCAACCGTTAGATCTGAACTTGTTTGATGGTCAAGATTTCAGCTAATACTGTCTCAAAACGCAACGTTTCATTTAAGCCTCAAAGTGCTGTCGTTTCAGTTTTCACTTCAACACATAGTTATGTATAATTCCATCTATGTATTTATATTTTTTATTGAATAGTAAATTCATCAAGAACATCTATTATTTGTCTATTATCTCCGAAAGATGATGTCTACC